GGTACAGTACAATTAATTTCCTTGCTAATCAAAATATTTGATCAAATGAAGCAATTATACCATTCTTTGAAAAGAAGTTGGAAGGATTCTTTACTGAATATTTCTAATTAGAATTTTGTTTTTTTGCTACCTGCTGAGTTCTTATTCTGTATGAAGTTTCAGGATTGTTTTTTTTCTCCTTTAAGATAGCATGGAAAAAACTATGTAATTGTCTCCTGAAGTATCCAGAACAAATATACTCCAGCAAGCACATAGCCTGAGGGGTTAATCATAGGCTTTACAATCGTTAAATTAATAGATAGATTACAACTCTGACAGCTGAGTGGGCCCTGCTAAGCCACTGCCACCTTGGAGACCCACAGAGGGGTCACAAGGCACCCCTGCCATGAGCCCATCATCAAGGGGCATTGAAGGTCAGAAGCTGTCCCTGGCCAGGCACAGGGGTACACACCTGAAATCCAGCTACTCAGGAGGCCGGAGCAGGAGGAGCAGCTGCATCAGGTCATACCTAGCCTGAGCAACTTAGTGAGACCCGGTATGAAAGCACAAATCAAAGTCCCTGGGCTGCAGAACCTCAGGGCACCAAACAGCCAACTCACGCCTGGCCTTCACCTCTGCAGGGGGCTAAGCCAGGCTGGGCTCCACCAGGACATCCTCACAAGAGACAGCAGGCTGAGCCCTGGGCTTCAGGGGCTTCCCTGCCTGCCGGGCCCCTGCACACCACTGTCAGCCAGTGTGGCCCCCAGCCAGGCTCTGTGCCATCCAGGGAGGCCAGACTTGGATGGCCACCCAGTCCCCTCCCTCCCGCAGCCCATGGCTGCATGAGGGTGACTGTGGCACAGGTTGCCACGGGGCTGGATTCAAGAGGAGGCCCCTCCCTGGGTGCCAGTGGTCGGCGGGGAGAAACCCTGCTCAGGGTGGGGACAGTGGCAGAGACAGGAAGCTGCAAGGGAGAGGAGAGCAGCACCAGAGCTGGGGTGCAAGCCAGGTCCCCCAAATGAATTCCGTTCTGTGCAGGCCTCCCTCTGAGCCCCCATCCCCAGGGCAGCCTCAGGGATTGGAGGGAAATTCTGATGTCACAGAGCTTTTAGGACTGACCACAAGTCCACGTGGTGGAGCTGCTCCTCACCAAACAAAGCACCTGGGTACGCTGGGCCCCAGAAGCGCTCTGTAACAGCACTGTGCACAGGCCACAGGGACACTATTTCTTTGTATATCCTGCCAACAGTATAGTGCAGTCACAAAGAGTCACAGAGAATTCCTGTGATATAGATGACCCATCCTTCTCTGCCACGCCCAGAGGAGCCCTGGCAATGACAAATATCCCTCAGATATCCTAGTGAGTCCAACAATGTCTTGAAAACAGCACTGCTTTCTAACGGGCTCAGGCCTCGCGTGCAGGAGATGAGTTCAAACGCGCACCTGCCAACTCTCCTGCAGCACCTGGCACCTGCAGACGCCTCGCCTCATCCCCTCCAGCAGCCGGGTCAACCACGGAAGGTGTCATTTGCCTCGGAAGAAAGTGGCGAGGAGGAGCAGAGCCTTTCTTTGGTTCCAGAGAAAGCTCTATTTCCCCCTTCAAATGCAGCCATCATGTGAGTGATGCCAGGGACACAAAAGCGCCAGACCAGGAGCCATCTGTTCTCCCTGGTGTCTCTGGGCACCGAGCAAGGCTGGCAGCGTCTGAGCAGCTTTGTGGAAACTCAGGGAGGGAACCAGAGAGGGGCGGCCTGGTGTGTCCTGTGCGCAGCGCCCTGCGGAGGCCGCGGCTCCCCTGGGCTCTGGGGGCTGTGATGGGGCTGCTGTGCCCACCAGGCCTGGCAGGTCTGTTCCCGTGTGCAGAGACGGTGACAGTGAAGGACAGGGCTGGGCTGTCTCGGCGTTACCCACAGTGAACCTGAGCCGCCGGCTGGGCTGCGCCCGGGGAAGGTGCTGCTCCAGCAGGCAGCGGACCGCCGCCTCGCCCACTCCTCCGCACACTCGGCCGACAGGCTTCTGCTGCCCCTTTGTCGGTGCCCATCTGTGGCTGTCGCTGAGTCCGTCCTCCCTGGCCTGGCCAGGAGAGTGTGGGAGGCAGCACTGTCACGGTGTCCTCACCTCTGGCTGTAGCTCTCGGCCCGCAGAGGGGCGGGTCAGCCTGAAAGAGGGCAGCCAGGATGGCACGTGAGCACCGCCATGGTCACTTGGGCTGTTTGCTGGCCTCCCCGGCCCTCACCCACCTGGGTCACTTGGGGAGGAAGGGAGCTGCCGCCCTGGGCTGTGACCCATTAGCACAAGGTCTTCCTTGGGCTCCCAGGGGTCACTCTGACCAGGGTCTCCCTATGACAACTCCTATTGCCATTCTCCTGTCCAAACCCAGGGAGCCAGGGCCACCCATCTTCCCTAGAGACCCCCAGCCCCCCTGCAGAGGATCAGAGGGTTCTGTCTGACCTGGGTCTGCAGGGTCAGGCAGGAGTGCCAGGGTGGCAGCAATGGCTTCCACAGCTTCAGCCAGCGCTGGCCACATGTCCAGCCCATGAGGACAGCTCAGGCAGCCATGTACCCAGCCCTGGAGCCGTGGCACTCAGTGTCACCCTGACCCTGTGTCTTAGCTGCCTTCCTTTGCTAGGACACATAGCAGACACCACAGCGGTGAGGAGGAGAGGTTTATTTAGCTCACAGTTTGTAGACGTTTCAGCCCTCCATTGATGGGCTCCAAGGCAGGGCGGCAGAGGAGAAACAGCTCGGCAGGAAGCAGACAGGGATGAGGGAGGAGGAGGGACCGCACCTTCCAGCCACGCCCCGTGCCACCTCCTCCCACCGGCCTCACCCCTCAGCACCACCCTAGCTGTGGGCCCATCAGTGGGCCAGTCCACTGGCAAGTGTCACACCCCATGACCCAGTCCCTTCCCCAGACCCCACCCATGGGTCCCTGAGGCTGTAGGGGAACACCCGGCTATCAACCACAACACCCTGCTTTTGAGGTGAGGCCACATAGGTGGAGAACGGACTGACTAGCCAGCACTTCAGACCACCGTGTCCCCACCCCGGGCCCTGGCACCGGGGGAGGTAGCAAGAGCGGGGGGAGCGTGGCCAGGGAGCCGTGCACGACCGTTTGGTAAAGGCCCCGCTTCACAGGGCCTCTCTACCTACAAACATCCTCCCCTGCGATTCTAAACAGCCGCACTGCGATCTCTCTTATGCAAATGTCATTTAGCCCTTCCCCTAACGTTTGGTGTCTAGGTTATTACCAGTTTTTATTTCTGTAAAGTTTGTCTTTAGTTTTTGGGGGTGGGGCTGAGACAGAATCTTGCTGTATGTCCTGGGCTGGCGTCAGGTTCACAGCGATCCTCCTGCCTCGGCCTCCAGGGTGCTGGGATCTCAGGAGTGCACCACACCACAGACAGATCTGTAAACAGCCCCGCAGTTATCACAGATCCCGTGAGCTCCCCGGTGTTTCCTTAAGGACAATCCTGAAAGGGGGGCCCTGAGCTGGAACTCGGGCACTTTCCGTGGCACCAGACACCTTACTCCTGTGGATATTATCAACGCTCGCCGTTTGTTAAAGCGGAATCGTGTTGTTTCCATTTCTCTGCACCTGGGCCAACACCAGGCCCAGCGTCCCTGCTCACAGCAGAGGACAGAGCTGTGCCTCTCCCTTACTGCCTGTGCCTTCTCTGACTTGTAGACGTTTATTCTTTCTTCGTACATGGATCGGGCTCCCCTGCATACCAGCTTCTGTTCAAGTCCTTGAAGATTCAGCAGGAAACAGACCAGAGTGTTTACTTCTGTGAAGTTTATTTCGGATGAGAAAGACAAGAAGTAAATGGAAAACCAGCAGGGGAAAAGGGTAGGGATTATGGAACAGGGCTCAGAAATCCTATAAACACCCCAAGGTAGGGACACAGACAGCAAGTGCAAAGGCCCTGGGGCACAACTGCGCCTGCTGTGTTTACAGCAAGGGGAAGAGGCCCGTGGCTCTGAGCACAGCCTGTAAGGAAAGATCACCGAGGAGGGGAGTCACAGAGAGCCAGGTGAGCAGGAGGAGGCATTGTGAGGTGTGGCCGGTTGCTCTGAGCAACGCGTGAGCCATTTGAGACTGTCCTCAGAGTGAGATAACCGTGGGCAGTATCAGTGGGTGCACTATAGGGATTCATGCAGAAGGGCAGCAGCCAAAGCCAGGAGGTGAGGTGGCCTGGTCAGGCTGGAGCCCTGGGATCAGAGGGTGGTTTGGAGGTGGACGATAGGAAGCTGCCCGGCCTCAGCATCCGGAAGAACAGTTTCTCTGTGCTGAGGCGGGGACCACAAACGGAGGCCACGTTTGGAGGCCATTCTGGGAGGGCAGGAAGAATTGTCCTGCCGGGACCCGGATGCTTAGGAAGTCGCCCCCTCCTGCCGTTGTCTCTGAGGCGGCCCCGGCTTCCTGTTGGCTGCGGGCGTCACAGCTCTGCGGCCACGGGGACTGGTTCTGAGGACACCCGACCCCAGCTGCTGCCCCGCTGTGCACCTCTGACCCCAGCCACCACCCGGATCAGACCGGGTTTCAGTCCTGGACACTGAAAACCTGCTATTACATCAGCTGCCACCTGCTTCCCCATCAGTGTGTCTAACAGTCCCCCAAATATCTGCTGGGGTCTTTGTTAGGATTTTATTACACCTTGAGAAAGTTCTGTCTTTCGCGGTGGTGGAGTCTTTATACCCAGGAGCGCGCGTCTCTCCACTGACCCAGTCTTGTCTGAACCTCTACCAGCCCCGAGGAAATTCCTTCCTGTAGGCCTTGGGTCTCGTTTGGGTTTCATCCCAGAGCGCTCAGTGCTTTTATCAATAATGTGATTGCCTACCTTTGTCACCATTCAACTTCTAATTTTTTAAAACTTTTCTTGTTTTATTTATTTTTATTTTTTGTTACCAAGGATCAAACTCACAACCTTGCGTTTCCCAGGTAGGCACTTAACGCTGCTGAGCTAAACCCCCAGCCCTCCTAATATTTTTTTTAAAAACCATATACATTTATTAGTCCATTATTCTTTTTTAAATAAAGCAACTTTATTAAACCACAAATCTGTATGCCACACAATTTAAAGACTTAAAAGGCAAGATCCGGTGGACCCTCACATGCAGGCAGAGCTGTGCGATTACAGCCACAGTTAAACTTAGGTCACTTTGCCATCCAGATCAAAACACCCCTCCTGCGAGTGACCACCCCCCGTCCTTCCGCCGGCCTAGGTGACCACTGGACTCCTCTCTGTCTTCACAGATTTTCCTCTTCTGGGATTTTACTTCTTTTTTCTTTTCAAAATGGTCCATTCTCACAACCGTAGAGACCCCACTGTGTCCAAGGAGGAGTGAATTCTGCATTGTGAGCTCTCACACCCTATTAGAATGAAACCAGGGACCGGCATACTTAAACACAGGCACTTTTTTCTTTCTCTTTTTTCTCTCTCTCCTCTTTCCTATTAAATGTTTCATCCAAGGGAACCCACACAATGTCCAAGCTCCTATGTCTGATTTGCTCCACTTAACATCAGGGTCTTAAGGTGCCTACGGGTGCCCCAAGTTTGTCTGTATTAATGGCAGAACAATAGTCCGCTGTGTACAAACCCCACATTCCCTCACCCACCCCACTGTTGATGTGCCTTGGCTGGGTCCGAGATTTAGCTGTTATGAATCAGGCTGCCATATACACACATTGCTGTGATGTGTTTTCAACTCCTCGGGGAAGATACTCAAAAGGGGGAGAGCAGGTGGGTCAGGTGGAATTTTGATTTTTAGCTTTTTGAGGGATCTCCATGTTGGTTTCCATAGTGGTTGGGTCAGTTTACACTCCCACCAACAGTACAACTTCTAATGTCTTGTATCTTTAGCTTGTCTCTAACTGCTTGAAATAAACCCTCATTGGTCCCAGTGAACCATTTTTAAACATGGTGCTGAATATTCTTACTATCTGACATTAGATGTTTTTCCCATTAACAGCCATAAATGAGATCGGGTTATAGTTTCTTTGTCATAGTTTGGTGGGTAATTGCCCAAAGATTTCCATCCTACGCATCTTTTCTGAGTGCTGAATAATGGAACTCCATGTAAAAATCATCTATTCCCTCAAGGCCTGATGCAGCGTGCCTTTAAAAGTCACCTTTAGTGACAGATGGCAGGTCTTTTACGGGCTCTCCCATTTCTTTTGTGATTATCTGTATTCAGGCTTTTCTAATACTCAGCTACAATTAGTTTTCTATATTCTCTTAAAAGTACGTTCCATCCCCCCTGGAGGTTAAAGCACATTAACCTAAGGTTGTCGACTCTATGTTGCTAGAATAGTAGGCTTCCAGCCTGCTCTGGGCTGTGACACCTCCGAAGGTGTGAATACACACATCACACCAGGGCAGCCCTTGTTACTGCTGGACCGAGGGGTAAACCGAGGCACAAGCGGGTCAGCAGCTTATTGCAGGGCCTCATAGTCAGGGGCGGCGTCTGCACTCAGCTCCAGAGCTCCGTCCCCTCAGGCCCCCGTCCACCCGTGTTCTTGCCAGCGGCGCCCACCTGGGCCAGGCTCTCTAACTTACCTCTGAGGCTTGGGAAAGTCTTCAGTTTACCATTCTAAGAAGCTGTAAATCGCCTCAGGAACACCGCTGTTATTTTCTAATGTGAGACAGGAAAAGCATTCGTTCACTTCCCAAATGTCTCCGTGCGGCATATTCAAAAGCGCCTGCCAACCTGTGGGTGACCGAGGGCTTTGGTCGGCGTGGAGGTGCATGTGTCCCGGGCCTTCCCAGCAGCCTCCTGTGTGTGATGCCGGCTCATCCAGTCTGAAATACTTTGCATATTATGCAGGTTCCTCCATCCTAAAGAATAGTGACGTATTAATACAGAGTTCTGTGGAAATTCTTAACACAAGACAGCCAAGTTTGACTGCTAGCTGGGGGGTTTCTGGATAGTTTCTGGATGGTAATCGTCTGAAGTTGCCAGAACAGGACTGACCCAGGGTGAGCGCTGTTGTCAGAGCTCACAGACACAATCAGGGAACCTGATGGTAGTGCAGAACATGCCCAGATGCAGGGACAGCTGTCATGCGTTGTCACCGCAGGCTGTCACACGGCCATCCCTGCGCCTCTGTCCTGGCACCCTACACCTTTGCAGGTCAGGAGTCCACTGCTGCTGCAGCAGATGCAGGCCTGGCTGCGGGGGCCTTTACCTAGCCAGCAAGTGTGTGCCTGTCAGGGCTGCCTCCCTGGCCCGCACGGGAGGCTCAGGTCTCAGTGGCCCCCGCCAGCTCCATCCCCATGGCTCCAGTCCCCCATATCACCTTCCTGGTTGTCCCAGGATACGCCAGAGGCCCAGGCCTTGCCCACGGTCCCTCTGCTGGTACTCACTGAGCGACTCTCCCTTGCCTGCTATCCCTTGCCCTGTCTGCCCAGCACAGTGGTCAGTAGAGACACAGGACAGGCCACACAAAGGAGCCCTCTGCCACTTCGTGTCCTGGAGGTCAGTTCCTCTTCCCGGGAAGTCCCCAGCCCTGGCCCACTGCTCATCCTGCCCCCGGCTCCCCAGCACCACGGACAGAGCCTCCAAGGCTTCCTCTGGCCAGGATCAGTAAAGCCCTGACCCATGCATTCACCAGAATAAATCCCTGTTCCCGGCCCCAGGGAAGCTCAGCCAACAGCTGGGGCCGCAGCGCAGGGTCTTTCCTGTCAACAAAACCGTCTTTCATAACCAGTCAGTGGGAGCAAATGGATGAAAGTCACACCCTGCAATGGAAGCACAACCCTGGAAGTCCAAATGCACAGCTCTGCAGGCTCCTGGCCGCACGCAGCAGGACTGTGTGTTTGCTAAATGCACCAAAGGCCAGGCCAGGCCGAAGGCTCAGCGTCACACAGCCACCTCTTGGGCCCACTGTGACTTCCACACCGCTGAGCCTGGCCTGCGAGGGGAGCCGGTTCAGGCTGGCATCTGTGATGCTTTTGCATCTGGCTTCTCTGCCCCTCTGCCTCCCCAGAAGTACCCAGATGTGGGGCCCCTGAGCTGAGAGGTCTGTGCCCCTGACTGAGGGCCATGATTCCCATTCTGTTTTGTGCAGGCTGCCGATGAGTGGGCCGAGAGGATGCCCAGAGTCCCGCCACCCACGTCTCCCCGAGAAGCAGCCATTGCAGAGCTGTTGGCCCGCCTCCAGAAAGCTGTGACCACCCACCACTATGCCTTCGCCCAGGAGTTCAAGAACTTCGACACCAACAAAAGCAACACGGTCTCCAGAGATGAGTTCAGGGCCGTCTGCACCCACCACCTGCAAATCCTGACGGACAAGCAGGTAAGGTCAGGCTTTTTTGGTTTCCCTTCTGGGCCACCCCAGGCCCGTGCTCCCCAGCACACAGGACACAGTCTTCAGCAGTGCTCAAGGTTTTATTTACCTTATTTTGTTCTCTTTTGGTTTTAAGATAGGTTTGCACTATGTAGTCCAGGTTGGCCTCTCGTATCCTCCTGCCTCAGCCTCCCAGGTGTGGCATTAGGAGCATGTGCCCACCGGGCCCAGCTTTGTTTTGTTTTTCAGTCTTATAAAAGACTCTTAGGAGCCTGCTGTCAGGTGGCAGGTGTGCATCGCACCTTTTCAGTGTGCAAAAAAATGTCCCTGTTTCTTTGCAAATCAAATTAAACTCAGCCCCAGCTCCCATCCTCCTTCCCTTCCCCATCAGCCCAGCCATGTGAGCCAAAGAGGGTGGCTGGGAACCCTGGACCCCAGCAGGTGACGTGGACCCTTGTGTTCCTGATGTTCCCTCTGTCCTCCGCTCTTGCTGCTCTGGGGTCTCCCTGGGGAAGTCCAGGGAGCCCCTCAGACTCCGGACAGAGGCCACCGCTCCCTGGGTCCTCTGCCCGTCACAGAATCTCCAGAGCACGTCCTCAGTCTCCTCCCTGGAAGACTGAGCGCGGCTCACTGTAGTTCAGAGGCTCTGGCCCCATGCTTCCCTGTCCCCCTCAATGCCACACGGCCTCCCAAGCCAGACAGTGTCCTGCAGCCCCCTCTATGAGAGGAGGGCACCTCGGAAGGGTCCTGTGCTTACCGACCCAGCCCTGTTCACACTGAGTTGCTTTGCTCCACACCCAGCATCCCATGGGTAACAATGCCTGGCACAGGGTGGGTTCTCAGCAATACCCATGATGGCAGGGTCCCATGTTGCTGTGGGATGTCCACGTGCCCAGACCCTGCCCCCAGCTAACAGCCAACATGAGCGCCCGGTCCCTCCGTCCCAGGAGATGCTCTGTGAGCAGCCGACATACCAGCGCCATTCCCAGCGAGCAATTCAGACAAAAGGAGGTCTTAAAATACACAGCAGCTCGTCCTCCTTCCCCTGGGTTCTGCTCAGGCCCAGCCCCGGGGTTCCGCTTGCAGATCCAGGTAGAAACCCGTCCCTTTACCTCCAGAATCTCAGTCCTCACGCCAGACAGAATGCAGCCATTAAAGCCCCTGAGTCTCGGTCACCTTCCTGTCACTGAGACACAATACCCCAACCCCCACACTTAAAGGAAGTTTGTTTCAGCTCAAGTTTTTAGTCTGTAGTTAGCTGATGCCGAGGCAGGAAGGGGCCGTGGGAGGGTCTGTCGGAGGGAAACCGCTCGCCTCACGGCAGCCAGGAAGCAGACAGGGAAGCGAGGGCCAGGAGGGAGGGAAGGCCTTCAGGCCACGCGCCCAGTGACCTCAGCCTGTTCCCTCCGGACCTGCCTGCCACACCAAGCGAGCTGCAGCACCCCCAGAACCCGTTTACCACCCCCAAGCCCCGCTCCCAGTATGTGAGGCCCCGGGGAGCGCGTCCTCCCGGACCTGCCCCGTGACACTCGGATGACAGGAGCGAGCGTGGCGCTTAGCTTTCCCAGAGTGAGGCGTTTGGGATGACCTGAGTCATTGTCGCTGAGTTAACTGAAGTGCTATTGCTGAGTACTTCTCTCCACAGAGCCCCAAAGGCAAGCAAGTTCTGCCTTCGCAAACTGTGCAGGTGAAAATAATCAGCCCCCGGCCCCATTTATTATTCTACCATGCCAGCTGACAGAAGTTTTACTGATACAAGTTTCACTAATAACAATTTCCATTTCATCTAATTGAATAAGCTTTTGCTCTAATTACTGATATAAGTTAACGATGTGCTGACACACCTCGCTCACATTCGTAACCAGAGAATCTGATTTCAGTTTTCCACGAAAGAAACTTCTTCATCCGCAGCAATCAAGCCCTCCGCAAACAAATTAAGCACTTATTTTTAAATGCTCCTTCCTAAAAATAAGTAAGTTCTCACATCTCAGATACAGCCCACCTACAGGATCCAAGCACGGCACGCGAGCCCCGTGGTTAAAGTTGGGGGTGATGAGCAGGAACTGTTCCTTGGTGAAGGCTGCTTTCAGACACAGCAAAAGCCCAGAGACCCTAGGTTTACTTCCTGTGTGAGTTGCTGTGCCAGCAGCCTCTGTGTTGGTCACTTCCCTCACTGGCTCAGGTTTCTGTCCTGCTCAGCTGGCTCCCAGGCAAGAGGGCAGGGCAGGGTGCCTGGCGGAGGAGAAGCAGCTCACCGCACTGCGCACGGGAAGCAGAGGGGTGGGCGGGGCCTGGAGGGAGGGGATCTCCCTGGCCACGCCCCCGGACCGCCTCCTCCACTGACTCCGCCCCCTAAGCAAATCAGCCAAAGCCGCGTCCTGAGGTTCTTGGGGCCCTCATTAGAAACCATAGCAACCTTCTCGGTTGAAGGCACAGTGTTAAAATGTGACAGGAGATGGTTTGTCCTTGTGATATGCCAAGGTCCCTCCTCCTGGATCTCAGAGGAGTTCACTGAGGACACGGAGATGGTGATGGCTCCACCCTTATTAAATAACGTTTCCACGGATTGCGTGATTTCCTTCCTTTACCTACCTTGTAGAAACATCACGCACACACACGCAGGAAGAGGGCTTCCGAGGGGCACCTCCATCGACTTACCCAGCTCTGTAGAGGGGAAAGACCGCGTCTTCCAGAAAAGCAGGGCGTCTGCAGGGCAGACTGCGGAATTGGGGGTCTTCCGGGGAGGTGGCCACAATGCGCCTCCCGGCGGGGCTCTCCTCGCCAGGCCCTTTAGATCAGTGTTGCTCCAGTGCTGTCACAGGCAGCGCGCACTCGGGAGAGGACCAAACCCCTGCACACCCTGGCTGTGGGCAAGGGCCGCACCTCTGAGCTCGGGTCTTCCCCGGCAGAGGGGACACAGACAGGGCTGTCCCGGCTCTCCCAGGTCCCCCCCCTCCCAGCTCGAGCCCAGCGTACCCCTGTCCTCCCATCCGGCTCGCCTAGCTCTGCACCTCTGGCTGAAGCCTTGGGACACCCGCGTGCTCCCACGCATGTGGCACCCGGCTTGGCAGGGCTAGAGACAGCCAGAGCCCGCACACGGGGCTGTACGTGCATGAGGGGTTGCACTTGGTGCTGGGGTTGCACGTGGTGCTGGGGTTGCACGTGGTGCTGGGGTTGCACGTGGTGCTGGGGTTGCACGTGGTGCTGGGGTTGCACGTGGTGCTGGGGTTGCACGTGGTGCAGGGGTTGCACGTGGTGCTGGGGTTGCACTTGGTGCTGGGGTTGCACGTGGTGCAGGGGTTGCACGTGGTGCAGGGGTTGCACGTGGTGCAGGGGTTGCACGTGGTGCTGGGGTTGCACGTGGTGCAGGGGTTGCACGTGGTGCTGGGGTTGCACGTGGTGCTGGGGTTGCACTTGGTGCAGGGGTTGCACTTGGTGCTGGGGTTGCACGTGGTGCTGGGGTTGCACGTGGTGCAGGGGTTGCACTTGGTGCTGGGGTTGCACGTGGTGCTGGGGTTGCACGTGGTGCCGGACGTGAAACTGGAGGGCCCCATAGTCAGGAGTTGCTGGCCGCTTGCTGCCTGCTCTGTGGGGCCGGGTGGGGGTGGGCGGTTTCTGTGACAAGACGTTGGGTTCGGAGCCAGGAGACCGTGGAGTGGGAGCCGCGAGTGTGGAGCCAGTGTGCACAGCCGGCCCACACCTGCATTCCTGGGGTCTGCGTTCCTTTGCGGGATTTTAGACAGTAAAGAAACCGGAATGTATGATTTCTGAGCAGTGAGGTGAGGTGGGGGGACAGGGTGCCGGGGCCTGCATTTCCCACGGGAGACCTGGGCGTGGACACGCAGCCCTGTGGGGGGCTGGGAGCTGAGGCCCCTCAGCAGAGGGGACCAGAGTGACCAGGCGATCCACAGGGTTGGAACACAAGCCGAAAGCCTGCGCAGGGGGCCAGCCTGGGGAGTGGGGGCTGAGCCCAGAGCCTGGAGCAAGGCGGAGCAAAGCTCCAAACAGCGCTGAGCGCACTTGGGTTCTGGTGAAGACCCTTCTCCCCTTAGCTCCCCCATCCTGAGGGTGTTAACGTGTGCGACCTTCTGAAGGGGTCGATGTTTTCACTAAGAGATTTGTGGAAAGTCCCAGCTACGGTTCTATTGTGTCAATTTTTTGCAGGGGTTTTCAAATTAATTCTTTACAAATTAAAATTATTATTTCCTCCCAGTGAGTTTAACCTTTCAGCATGATTTAACTGCCTTCTTTAAACCTGGAAAAGAGTTTTTGGCTTAAAATACATTTTACCTGATATTATTAAAGCTACTAGTCTAGCTTTCTTATTTTGTGTTTCATTGGCATATCTCTTTCTAAATCTTTCTAAATCTTTGACCTTTCTGTGCCCTAAGTTCTTTGTAAATGTATTTTTTTTCTATCGGTACCGGGGATTGAACTCACAACTGGGTGCTTGCAAGGCAGGCACTTATGCAGCTGAACTAAATCCCCAGCCCCTGTAGATGTATATTAACAGCCTATCAGTAGATTATTTTTTAAAATCCAAGCTAATAATCTCTGCCTTGCATTTATAGGGATGTTTATCTGGTCCATTTATATTTATTGTGATTCCTCGTGTATATCTATTATCCAATATTGTTTTTTTTTTTTTTTTTTACTTAAGAGGAAAAAGAGAAAAACACAAAACAAAACAAAGCGGTGTAAGGGTACACATAATACAGAACTACAAAAAAAAAACATAACAGTAAGAAATCACCTGTTAATAGATTACATATTATCATCTTGAAAATAGTTGCTCAAATCACAGATTCAAGAATACAAGGTGGACATTCAAACAGGGAGACTGCAAACAGCTGTGTTCAATGATCCAAAAACATTGATATAGTCAGCTATTTAACACCCCTAAACACACTTGCTGTTATATCCGTTAGAGCTCTTTTTTTTTCCCTCTCTTTTTTACAACAAATTTTACACATTTGGATTTTATTACTCCTTAGTGCTTATTACTTTTTTGGGGGGGAGAGAATACAGTCAAATATGGCAAAACAAAGCTGTCAGTCAAAACTAAGGATAGACATAGCACATGGTGTAGAACAGAGCACAAGGTTATCAACAGTGGTTATTAACGTTGTCTCTTGTTTCCTTAAAAAGAATTGTCTATCTCATTAGATATTATAAAGTTGGACAAAACAGTAGAGAACAAGACCAATAAAACTTAGGCATTGTAAACATTACAGGACTTCCAAAGAAGACAATAGTCAAACCAGAATGGGCATCTTAGTGAATCTTATTGCCTTCAAAGTAGTTGCCTATATCCTCAAACTTGATACTATCATACAGAATGGAACAGAGTCTAATCAGTCAAAACAAGATCATGGGAGTATTACAGGACTTCAAAACAAGTTAATAGGAAATGAAAAAGAGTTACTATATATATATCCTAATTTTTTAAATTTTTTCCCCTTAAGTAAGACAAACATAAGAAATGACTAAATAATTTTTTTAAAAGAATAAGGGAAAGATTGAGATAAAACAGGACATAACAATATAACAATAGAGGTCAAAGCATGACTGTTTCAGCAACCTAGTACTTCACCACCATATAACCCGACTTAATAGTAGTTACCATAGTGTCTGTCTTTTTCCTTGAAATATTTGGATAAAACTTCATATACTCTAGCTTCAAATATTTCCGTATCAAGAAGCCCAGAATAAAGCCTTTCTAATTAATGAGTGAAAACTTTATAAGGCTTCAAGGCCACCTAATGGGGAATCATGATTACCACATATTTTTATATATTTGAATCATTACTTACATTAGGAAACTATTCGGTATTCACACATGCGAGATTGATTTATTTCACTTATGAGTATGGTCTCAAGCTGTGCCCATTTATTGATAAATATCTCAATGTGATCCTTCTTTATAGCTGAATAATACTCCATTGTATAGAAATACCACAACTTTTTTATCCATTCCTCAGTTGATGGACATTTGGGTTGTTTCCAAGATCTGGTGATTACAAATTGTGCTGCTATAAACATAGGTGCACATATATCCCTGTGGTATGATGCTTTCAGTTCTGGGAATATGCCCAGACGTGGAATAGCTGGAATAAATGGGATTTCCAATCCCAACTTTTTGAGAAATCTCCAGACAGATCTCCACAAAGGCTGTACCAGTCTACACTTCCACCAGCAGTGCAGGAGAGTTCCTTTTTCCCCACAGCCTCTCCAGCATTTGTTGTTGTTGGTTTTCTTGATCCTGGCCATTCTTTCAGGAGTGAGATGGTATCTCAGTGTGGTTTTAATTTGCATTTCTCTAATGACCAATGATGATGAGCATTTTTTCATGTATTTATTTGCCATTTGCATTTTTTCATCTGAGAATTGCGTATTCATCTCAGATGCCCATTTTTGGATTGGATCTTTGAATTTTGGAGGTCTGAGTTTCTTTAATTCTTTATATGTTTTAGACAAGAGTCCCTTGTCTGAGAGAGAGTTCACTAAAATCTTTTCCCAGTTTGTGGGTTTTCTTTTCACTATGCTGGAGATTTGTTTTGACATGCAGAAACTTTTTAATGAGAAATGGTCCCAGTTATTGATTCTGGGAAGTATTTCCTGTGCGGTTTGAGTCCTGTTCATGAATTCTCTACCTGTTCCTATGTCTCCAAGGTTTCTACCCAATTTGTCTTCCAATAGATTTAGCGTTTCTGTTTTAATATTCAGATCTTTGACCCATTTAGATTTTAACTTAGTACATGGTGATAGACATGGGTCTAGCTTTAGTTTTCGGCAAATGGAGAGCCAGTTTTTCCAGCACCATTTATTAAAGAGACTGTCGTTCTTCCAGTGAGCCTGCTTGGCTCCTTTATCAAAGATAAGGTGGTTGAGTGTGTTTGTAGTTGTGGTTGTATCTTCTAATCTATTCCATTGATCTTCGGTTCTGTTTTGATTCCAATACCATGTTGATTTTACTACTGTTGCTTTGTAGTATAACTTCAAGTCAGGGATTGTGATGCCTCCTGCTTTGTCTTTGCTGCTTAGAATTGCCTTTGCGATTCTAGGTCTCTTCTGGTTCCAGATGAAATTTAGGAGTGATTTCTCTAGATCTGTAAGGTATGTTGATGGTATTTCTATTGGGATTGCATTGAATCTGTATAACAGTTTTGGGAGAATGGCCATTTTCACAATGTTTGTTCTTCCTATCCATGAGCAAGGGATGTCTTTCCATTTTCTGAGATCATCTTCAATTTCCTTTTTCAGTGTATTATAATTTTCACTGTATAA